AGCAAAAGACACTACCATCAGAGTGAACAGGCAACCGACAGAATGGGAGAAAATTTTTGCAATCTACTCATCTGACAAAGGGCTAATATCCAGAACCTACAAAGAACTCAAACAAATTTACAAGAAAAAAACAAACAACCCCATCAAAAAGTGGGCAAAGGACATGAACAGACATTTCTCAAAAGAAGACATTCATACAGCCAACAGACACATGAAAAAATGCTCATCATCACTGGCCATCAGAGAAATGCAAATCAAAACCACCATGAGATACCATCTCACACCAGTTAGAATGGCAATCATTAAAAAGTCAGGAAACAACAGGTGCTGGAGAGGATGTGGAGAAATAGGAACACTTTTACACTGTTGGTGGGATTGTAAACTAGTTCAACCATTATGGAAAACAGTATGGCGATTCCTCAAGGATCTAGAACTAGATGTACCATATGACCCAGCCATCCCATTACTGGGTATATACCCAAAGGATTACAAATTATGCTGCTATAAAGACACATGCACACGTATGTTTATTGCAGCACTATTCACAATAGCAAAGACTTGGAATCAACCCAAATGTCCATCAGTGACAGATTGGATTAAGAAAATGTGGCACATATACACCATGGAATACTATGCAGCCATAAAAAGGATGAGTTTGAGTCCTTTGTAGGGACTTGGATGCAGCTGGAATCCATCATTCTTAGCAAACTATCACAAGAACAGAAAACCAAACACCGCATGTTCTCACTCATAGGTGGGAACTGAACAATGAGATCACTCGGACTCAGGAAGGGGAACATCACACACCGGGGCCTATCATGGGGAGGGGGGAGGGGGGAGGGATTGCATTGGGAGTTATACCTGATGTAAATGACGAGTTGATGGGTGCAGCACAGCAACATGGCACAAGTATACATATGTAACAAACCTGCACGTTATGCACATGTACCCTACAACTTAAAGTATAATAATAATGAATAAATTAAAAAAAAAAAAAAAAAAAAAAAAGAAACTACAGTCCTGATGTTGTTCATTAGGTCTTTTGACTTGTTCCTCCTACATACTTGCTACTTTGTATCCTTTGACCTAAAAGGGAACACTTGCTAACCTGGAGACAGCACAATTATTGTTCAGTTTAGCAAGTATCCCCTTAAAAACATTCCAATTTAGCATGTTTCAAACTGTATTTTTAAATCTTTATGCCCAAATCCGTTCCACCCACATTAAAAAAAAAAAAAAAAAAAAAATCTCAGTTAACAGTGGCTTTTTCAGTTTCTCAAGTCAGAAATCTTGGAGTCCCTTGACAACTTTCTTCTTGTCACATCCAACACCAGCCCCTTAGCAAGTGTGGGGTGACCCAGTTCAAGGCACTGTCATGAACACAGCATGCCCAGGTTCTTCTGGCTTGCACTTTTAAACCTTTAGACATCACTTTTTGCCTCTTAAACAGCTTGCCTTATTATATTCTGCTTTCCTGGTATTCGTTGCTAGATGGCAGTAGAGGATTTTGATTGGACTCCAAATTGGTTGGTTAAAGCAGCCTGTGCTGCTCAGAGGGAAGTTGTGGTTGTGTGTGGTTGTGGTTGTGGTGTGTTGCGGTGTGTAGTTGTGGTGGTGTGTAGTGGTGGTGTGTGGTTGGTGTGGTGGTGGTGTGTGGTTGTGGTGGTGTGTAGTGGTAGTGTGTGGTTGGTGTGGTGGTGATGTGTGGTTGTGTGTAGTGGTGTGTGGTTGTGGTGGTGTGTGGTGTGGTGGTGTGTGGTGTGGTGGTGTGTGGTTGTGGTGTGTGGTTGTGGTGGTGTGTGGTGGTGTGTGGTTGTGGTTGTGGTGTGTGATGTGTGGTGTGGTGTGTGGTGTGTGGTTGTGGTGGTGTGTGGTGGTGTGTTGTGGTGGTGTGTGGTTGTGGTGGTGTGTGGTGGTGTGTGGTTGTGGTGGTGTGTGGTGGTGGTGTGTGGTGGTGGTGGTGTGTGGTGACTGTGGTGGTGTGGTGGTGTGTGGTTGTGGTGGTGTGGTGGTGGTGGTGTATGGTTGTGGTGGTGTGTGGTTGTGGTGGTGAGTGGTTGTGGTGTGTGGTTGTGGTGGTGTGTGGTTGTGGTGGTGTGTGGTTGTGGTAGTGTGGTGGTGTGTGGTTGTGGTGGTGTGTGGTTGTGGTGGTGAGTGGTTGTGGTGGTGTGTGGTTGTGGTAGTGTGTGGTGGTGGTCATGTGATGGTGGCAGTGTGTGGTTGTGTGTGCTTGTGGTTGTGGTGGTGTGTGGTGGTGGTGTGTAGTTGTAGTGGTGTGTGGTGGTGGTGGTGGTGTGTGGTGGTGTGTGGTTGTGGTGGGTGGTGGTGTGTGGTGGTGTGTGGTTGGGGTGGTGGTGTGTGGTGGTGTATGGTGGTGCGTAGTTGCCAGGCTCTCTTTAATAACCAGCTCTGGAGGGAACTGATTATGTCAGAACTCACTCATTGCCATGAGGACAGCACCAAGCCCTTCATGAATGATCCATCTCCATGATCCAAACACCTTCCACCAGGCCCCACCTCCAACAATGGGGACTAAATTTCAACATGAGGTTTGGAGGGTCAAACATTCAAACTATAGCATCAGCCAAAATTATAGCTGCAGGGAAATTAGAAGAAAAACTGGCAAGATGAACAAAGATTTAGTGAAATATAACACATTAGAGAATAAAAAGGGGAGTCAATAGTCAATAGGTAGAGTCATTAGAGAATAAAAAGGGGAATAAAAAGGGGTGCAATCATAGTTTATTGTATGTTTTTGCATAACTGGTTAGTTCAATTAACTGTTACAGGTATTTTACTGAGGATTTTAACATCTGAATAGTTAAAAGTGTTCTCTAATTGTCTTATAATTTCCTTACCTTGTTTGGGAGTCAGGATTATAACAGCTTTGATAAATGTGTAGGGAAGCTATCTTACGTCTTGTCTTTTAGGAAAAAGTGCATTAAGTGTTTGAGGGGTGAAAGGGAGGGGCTGCAAAGGGCATGGGAAAACTTTCCGGGGTAATGGGCATATTCATTATCTTTAATGTGGTGATGGTTGTAAGGGTGTATACAAATGCCCAAACTCATAAATCGTACACTTTAAATATTCAAGTTTATTGTACGTCAATTATACTTCAATAGAGCTGTTTGTTGTTGTTTTGTTTTGTTTTTAAACCCTCACAATTTCGTTCTGGGCTCTGTGCTTGGGCTCTGAAATTTGGTAGCAGTGACCTGAATCTCCATGCCCACTATAACAGAGCAGAAGCACCATCCTCTCGGACAAACACCACCACTTTAAGTTCCAGCTCCCTTTCTAGCCTCATGCATTTCAAGAAAATCACTTCTTTTCTAACAAAAAGCAGACAGAAAGAGCAGACAGTAAAACATAGATAAGACAGCTCGGGCACAGAAGGAGGTGGGGGGAAAGTCTCTTGGGTAACTGCCGAACTTCACCCTCATACATTGGGCCCCAGTAAAACAGTGAGCCTTAATAAGCACATTCCTTTCCCTTCAGGTGCACTAAGATAGGGAAGCTAAAAGCAGACTTGGGGGTATGCCTGCAGCTGCAGGAAGATGTATGGGAACAGACACACAACTCTCCCTCCCAGGTAAGCACAGTAAAGAGACACAGAAGTCGTCTAAGCCTCTGATAAACTCTCCCACCCTGAATCCTTAAAAACTCTGTCTGTAAGAAAGCATGCCTCTGATCTTAGTCAGAAGCCACTCTCGGGTTTGTTTTCTTTAAAATAAACCTGTCCTTGACCATCAAGCCATCATGTTTCTTTCCTCTTTCTTTAACTCTTACACACTGGAGCCTAGGGAAAGGATCATTCTCTGCCCACTTCCATTACCTGAGAAAAGAACACCAGAAAAAGAAGCCCTGGAGAAAACATTAAGATTTGCAGCCAGGCATGGCAGCTGATACCTGTAATGCCAGCACTTAGGGAGGTTGAGGTAGAGGATTGTTTGAGGCCAGGAGTTTGAGCCTAGCCTGGGCAACATAGTGAGACCCTGTCTCTACAAAAAAAAAATTTTTAATAAATTATCTGGGCCTGGCGGCAAGTGCCTGTAGTCCCAGCTACTCAGGAGGCCGAGATGGGAAGATCCCTTGAACTCAGTACAGCTTAGGCTGCAGTGAGCTATGATGGCACCACTGCACTCCAGCCCGGGTGACAGAGCAAAACCCTGTCTCAAAAAAAAAAAAAAAAAAAAAGATTTGTAGACTGTCAAAAGGGACATCAAGAACGTCCCCTGTGAGCCCGGGCATGGTAGCTCACATCTGTAATCCCAAGCACTTTGAGAAGCCATGGCAGGAGGATTACTTGAGCCCAGGAATTTGAGACCAGCCTAGGCAAGATAAACCTTGTCTCTACAAATAAGAATAATTAGCCAGGCGTGGTGCAGGCCTGTGGCCCCAGCTACCAGGGGACTGAGGTGGGAGGATTGCTTGAGCAGTCCTCAGGCAGTGGAGGCACCAGTGACCTGTGGTGACAACACTGCACTCCAGCCTGGGCGATAGAGTGAGACCCTGTCTCAAAAGAAAATAAATAAAACAGAATGTCTCCTATGGAAAATGAGAACTTCCAGTAGAACAACTGTGGGAAAGAGACAGGATCTTTCTGTTCTTTCCACAGTATTTCAGATTTCAGACCGCTCGAGATTCCTCTACTAACGACTTCACAGTTGGTAAAAGCAAGTTACCTTCACAATGGTTCTTCAGCGTCTATTATGACAGTTCTTGGAACTATGCGTGCCAGATTACAGTTCACACCTGATGGTAGTGATAGTGGAAATGCCTTTAGGAGGCTTGCAGATGCCTTGGACCCAGAAAATACAACTTTTTGAGACATTTGGGAGAAAAAAAGAGTGTTTTACATCAGCCTTCCCTGGGGTTCCACAAACAGTGAATGGATCTGAAGACACACCTTCAACATTCTTTAAGAAGGAACCATGAAAGCCAACCTTAAATCATTTAAAGAGAGAATGAAACTTGAAGCAATGCACAGGAAGAACCCTTACCTGATCTGCTCTGCAGCTACTGGAAACGTGAAGGAGACAGTTTACACTTCAGTGGATGGGGGTGGTGGCTTAGGCCTGTATGCTAGTGCTTTGGAAGGCAGAGTGGGGAGGACTGCTTGAGGGAGAGTTCAAGGTTGCAGTGAGCTGTGATCCAGCCTCGGCAACAGAGCGAGACCCTGTATGTAAAAAAAGAAAGAAAAGAAAAGTTTACATTACATTTGGAGACTGGAGAGGAGCTTCTGAATACTGCTGCGATTCTTCAGATAGTCTCCTAACTGGGTAGGTAGTATTGCTTGACAAATGTCTTACAACTATCAGAAAACAATGTTCCCATTACAATCAGTAGAGCGAAAGCACAATCTTCTCCTTCCCACGTGGCTCAGCATTCAGTGCAGGCTCTGTAGAAAACTCACCCAGTTAGCCGGGCGCGGTGGCTCACGCCTGTAATCCCAGCACTTTGGGAGGCCGAGACGGGCGGATCACAAGGTCAGGAGATCGAGACCATCCTGGCTAACAAGGTGAAACCCCATCTCTACTAAAAAATACAAAAAACTAGCCGGGCGAGGTGGTGGGCGCCTGTAGTCCCAGCTACTCGGGAGGCTGAGGCAGGAGAATGGCGTGAACCCGGGAGGCGGAGCTTGCAGTGAGCTGAGATCCGGCAACTGCACCCCAGCCTGGGCGACAGAGCGAGACTCCGTCTCAAAAAAAAAAAAAAAAAAAAAAAAAAAGAAAACTCACCCAGTAACTCAGCTCAAGAAATCAGGCTGGGTTAAACCACCTGCACAGCTTTCCCCCCCACAAGGAAAGAAATCAGGCTGGGTTAAACCACCTGCACAGCTTTCCCCACCACGAGGAAAGAAATCAGGCTGGGTTAAACCACCTGCACAGCTTTCCCCACCACGAGGAAAGAAATCAGGCTGGGTTAAACCACCTGCACAGCTTTCCCCACCACGAGGAAAGAAATCAGGCTGGGTTAAACCACCTGCACAGCTTTCCCCACCACGAGGAAAGAAATCAGGCTGGGTTAAACCACCTGCACAGCTTTCCTCCCCACGAAGGAAAGGTTTCTTAAAAATGATTCCCTGACAAAGATCAGCGTTCATAACTAAAAGAGGCCCAAAATGAGAAAAAGGAAACATTGTCTTCCTGTTTTGTGTTCTCCTCCATCTCTATTCACGTAGTTGCTAGAAAGAGACCTTGGCCTTCCACTAGATCTGGGATGACATTGCCGGGACCGTGAATGCAGCGATGTCTGCAGTCTGTTTCTTTGCAAGCAAACAGGGGACTCCATGCTCACCTGCTTCAGAAGAGAGCTCCGGCTGGCCCCGTGGGTGTGGAGCTCTGGTGGACCATGCAGACCTGTGTGGATTGTGCCTTCCAGGCTGTGACAGAGGAGTTAAAAAGAAATTATTTAGGCAGATAGTGAGAATAAGGAAGCCCTTGGTAAGGTTTTCCTTTTAATGAAAAGCAGCCCCCAAATCATTTTGTTTTCTAGCAAAGAGCAACCTGTAAAATCAAGCTGCAGACATAGACAAGCAAGCTGGAAGCCTGCATAGGCCAATGCTGGTGGTTGTGCCAATAGAGAAAGGTTACCTGGGAATAGGCACATTCAAAATGGTGGCTCCATCATCTCCTCTCTTTGCCACCCACGTGTACAGTAAGGAGCAGACAAGATGGCGCTGGCCAAGTAGAAAGCCAATTTGTATAATAAGATCAGGGTGGGATGACCAGCCTTCCCCGAGTACCATGTAAATGTCACACCTGATTAAACCAATCTGTGGGCCCTGTGTAAATCAGACACCACCTCCTCAAGCCTGCCTATAAAGTCTGCTGTGGTCCACCTCAGGCCGGCTTTTTCCCTTTTGGATGCCTCTCTCTAGAAAGAGAGAGAAAGCTGCTCTCCGCTTCTTCCGCCTGTTAAACTTTCCGCTCCTTAACCTACTCACATGTGTTCATGTCTTTAACCTTCCTGGTGCAAGACAGTGGACCCCAGGTATTTACCCCAGACAATGATGCTGCTTCAGCCGGACAGCTCTTGAATGCCTCCATAGAGGAGACGTGGTCGCTGCCTCCTCTGGTGGGGAAAAACGTTCTACCTCCTTTCAGTGATTAACACCTCCTCAAGATAAAAACGGTAAAAACCAATCAGCAGAGGCAGACATACCAGTGAACAAGAGAGCCAACTGATGCTCTCAGAACCCTCCATCATATGTCATTCCTCTCTCACCTAAGGACCCCACATAGAAGTACATGCGCCACAGGCAGAAATATTGTCTTATGAGGACAGACATGCCAGAAGAGCACAGGCTTTCAGAAAACCACCAATGCAGCAAACTAACTCCCTGAGCATGGACTGGGGAAATTTCTCAGCTCTCTTAACTATAGGAATTATTTTCAGCCTGTGTCAGCGACGCTGAGCTCATCCCCAGTTCTGAATAAGCTATCACTGACTTCTACCAAGGACAATTATATGAAGTCAGCAAAATCCACATGCAGAGGAGATGGACACCCAATTCAACAAGTGAATGTGACCTCAGTGTACTGAAAACAAGCTTCCAGGAAGGACATTCACATTGGTTTGTGGATAAAGTAAAATAATTTGTGAAAGAGATAGATCCTCAGACTTTGGCATTACTGGAAAAGCTCGTCAGGAGACCTGAAGTTGGTGGGAGTTTCTGCTGTGTCTGAGGAGCTGACATGAGGATGAAATACATAAGACTAACATCAAGCCCGGCGTGAAAGCTAGGCCACTGCCCTAAAAGACTTAACGAAAAGAATGTTTTGTATATGTTCAGGCTGTACTTACTTCTCGGATGTACTGATGCCTTAAATAATATTTTTGTTGCTCTAAGCAGTCTTCCTTTAGCAAAGGGTTGCCCTGAAGATTGCAGAACTTAACCGGCTTCTCTAAACACTATTAAGGTGGGAGAAATCTTGCACATTAAACTTGGGAATTCTTTCTTTTTTTTTTTTTTTTTTTTTGAGACAGAGGCTCGTTCTGTCACCCAGGCTGGAGTGCAGTGGCACAATCTCGGCTCACTGCAAGCTCCGCCTCCCGGGTTCACACCATTCTCCTGCCTCAGCCTCCCGAGTAGCTGTGACTACAGGCACCCACCACCCCGCCAGGCAAACTTTTTTTTTTTTTTTTTTTTTTTGTATTTTTAGTAGACACAGGGTTTCACTGTGGGAGCCAGGATGGTCTCAATCTTCTGACCTCATGATCCGCCTGCTTCGGCCTCCTAAAGTACTGGGACTACAGGTGTGAGCCACCACGCCTGGCCTCTTTTACTTTTATTAATTGTACAGTTTATAAGTATATTTTAAATAGGAAATCAGAAAATTTTATTGATTTTAATCAATATTTATATATAGAACAGCTAAACCCCAATGGGTAAAACATCAGGGACTGACTATATACAGAAATCCACAACAATTTTACCTTAGAAGAGAACTTAAAGATGCAAATAAATCATGGTTTCTCATCCCGACACGGTGGACATTTTGGACAATTCTTTGTGGCTGGGAGTGTCCTGTGCGTGGTGGAATATTTAGCAGCATCTCTGGCCTCCACTCACTAGAAGCCAGTACTATGTCACATACACACACCCATTGTGACAATCGAAAATGTTTCCAAACAAGTGTCCCCTGAGTGGTGCAAAGCATCCCTTGGTTGAGAATCACTGAACTAGATATATTATCTCTCTCATGAATGTTTTATGTCTGGTGCTATCATGTTCTGTTCATGTTCTTACTGTTTCCAGAAAGGGAACCACCATATAGATTGACTTCCTTTCTGTTATTTTGTATCTATTTCCTAAAGAAAAGTTTTATAAACTTCAAAAATAAAGAAAAACAACTAAGAAAAAAGACTTAGCTCTGTGTAAGTGCAGAGCCCCCATGATTAGGCTGCCACATCTCAAGGCAGGTCATTCTCCCTTGTGTTTCTTGAAAGGGTAAAGGTGAAAGAAAGGGATTTTCATTTGCAAAGGATTTTTCTCAAGAGGTCTTGTGAGCAACTAGAACAATAAAAACCCCAGATGCTATTAGATGAAGGGCAGGTCTTACAGATCAGTCTATCACACTCAAAAGGGGAAATACAATTTTCTGTTTTAGAAAAAAAGAAAATCTCTAGTGTCGAGAGACCTCACAGATTTAATGACCATCTTGCCAGGCACTGCTTTAAACAAGTAAAAAGAAACATACTTATTTCCAGCCAGGAGCCTGGAGTTCCATGGTGAGGTCACATACATCTAGTTTCTATGTCCCACTTTCTGCCTTTGCTGACATCTGATTGAATTATTGAAAGAGTTCATCGACATTAACCCTGGACAGCCTCTTCTACCTAAGGGAGTAACTTGGAAGTGTGACCCAGTCATGGTCTGAGCTGCCAAGACAATAGCAGGGGAAGAATGCTGCATTGGTGTACGTCAAGGTAATTAAAAGGTGTTTTGTTATCAGCTCATTAATATTGATTATACCTTTTTCCACTCCATTAGAGCCGATAATTGGAGGTGGTGCTAGGTATGTTCAATGTTTCCCAACTACTCTGCTACTGACCCCGGGAAGAAAAACGCTTTGAATATTAAGCGCTTACCTTGCTGTTTACAAGCTATAGTTCATTGGCATCCACCTTGGCAAGGCTGATCCCCAGAAGGATGCCATTTTCTGAGAAGGTACAAAACTCAAATGTGATGTTAGCATCTGACCAGACTCTGTAGCCCTCTTTGACTGAAACATACAAGGACAGCCCCAAGTCAACCTCAGAGAGGCATGGGCTGGGCTGGGTGGCTGCTGTGCATTTGGGCTCTGTGGCTGGATCTAGCTCTTCCTCTGGATCCAGCTGCATCCCCACCAGCAGGTCAGTCCTGCCCTCTGAGCCTCAGCTTCCACATCTGTGTGATGAGGTGGAGCTTTTAAAAAAGACTCAAGCACTCAGCTGGGATAAGCCAGACCAGAGCAAGAATGGGCATATCCCTTCATCTACTGCCAGGCAAGCATTGGGTACTTGGCGGTTTACATTCTGGACAGCTGCCAATCTTGAGTCTACGACAATGCTGTTCAAACTGTAGTCTGTGGTCTGGTGTCAGTTGGCAAACTGTTACTGGTCAAGACAAGATAAGCAGAATGAATGGGAGGAAGCTTTGGGAAAGTATGTAACAGTCTGACATGTCCTGAAGCCCCCAACATATCAAAGAATCTGCCTCACTGATCAGAGGATAGGCAGCCTGGGTGTGGTGGTACCAGCACTGCAAGGTGGCCAGTGTCATGTGGCAAGAGCTGTGTATTTGTCATGCCCACAAGGACCTCTTTACAATGTGTGATGTTTGAAGGCTTGTCAACTGTAATCCAACACTATATAATCTGTATGTATTTACAATTTCTGTTTTTATAGTCATTCTGATTTTTAATGACTTTTAATATACATATACGCATATATATTTGGTAGCTGCATTAGGCAAGTAAATTTACTGTAGATGGCAAAGTGCGAAAATCATAGTGTCATTTAGGGAAAAGCACTAATGAAACCATAAATGAAACTGATACTTAAGTGATATTTACTTATTACACAAATTCAAAACAAAGAATTCTTTGTGAAAGAATTTTGAGTTGAAGGCAGATAGAAGCAGATTTTCGGTATTTCACATGCAAACTTTACAGTTTTGGGGAGCTTCACATGGACTTGCTTTTCAGGTTGCTAAAACTAAAAACCATTTATCACTGCTGAGAGATTAGCAGCAGAAGATTGTATTGCAGCTGTCTGCATACACTTACGCACCCACAAAAATTTTAAATAGTCATTTAAAACATTATTAAAACAAATGAATTCTAAATCGGCCTACCAGGAATTTCCACCCGTTGGGTCTAGGCATGCTCTCTGAAGCAAGAAAATGAAAGAGGTGCCTGACATCCTCAAATCCAAGAAGAGAGCCCGCTCGTCCCCAATTCCACACTGAATTTCTGGGGTGTCCCCGCCGGGGCCACAGCCGGGCCCCCACCGTTCTCAGAGCTGCCCTCATCTGAAGACCACAAACCTGGGACCTGGGCTTCCTCCCACTGCCCCGTGACCTTTCGCCTGCATTCCCCGTGACTCAGAAGTCAGGGCCAGACTACCCAGAGCGAGAGCCCTGTAGGGTCCCCGCCAGCATGCCCACCCAGGGTTCCCATCCAGCGTCCCCGCCCAGGTCCCCGCCCAGCCTCCCGGGGACTACACCAGGCCACCTGCGCTCGCTCATTGACAGCACAGCCCCTTCCAATCTTGACGGCCTCCGCCCAGTCGACCCTGCGTGAATACAATTATTTCCCTCTACCTTCCACTCGGAGAGAGCGGCCAGGATGCCAACTGGCTTCTCTGGAAACACCCCGGCTCCCCAGCCCTCCTGGGGCATCTCTAGGTGACACCCCACAAGGCCCGAGGCCTCTACTCCTTCTCTCCCGTCGGCAGTGACCCTGCCTCGCACCTGCCGCGTGGGTCCAGCCACACTGTCCCAGCAGACGCTCTCACCTTAGCCTAGGGCTTTACTTACTGCTTCCAAAAGCGCTGGGCGTAGCCTTTATACGTCTGACCCCAGCCCCAAGTCCCAGGCCACCCCATCCAACCGCCCAACGGCCCAACCGCCACTCCAAAGCTCGCCAACCGCTGCTCCAGGCCACGGGCTGCCCCTCCCCACGGCTCTGGGACCCCGCCCCTCCACCGCAGGCTGACCCAGCTCACCTCACCAACGGTCACGCCCACCGCCAGTCTGGCCCCGCCCCACCGTGCTCTCTCCCGGCTCCACGACCCCGCCCCTCAGTGGCAGGTCTACCCCGCCCACTCCAAGAACCACCACTTCCACAGCCAGGCACCGTAGCTCGGGCTGAGGTCCTCTTTGGCTCCTGGCAGCTGTTGCCCCTGCAGCCATCTGTACCGGGTGTCTGCTGTGTTTTGTCCCCCACATGTAGTTCTGATATGTTTTTAAAACTTCATCTATATCTCACTTACTCCGCTCCCTGCATAGTAAGCGCCGTGAGGATGGGCAAATGCCTGTTCAGCTTAGGATCAGATCCTTAGCACGTGATACGGGGGCTGGTGCTCTACACCCACACCTGCTCTGCCGGCTCTCCTGGATCATCGTGGCGAAATGAGATGGTCTATGTAAGAGCACTTGTAAATTTTAGAACTCTTTCCATACCCCTGAAACCCCAGAAACGTAAAGAATTATTTTCATTATTATTGCTTTTCCGTACATTGATCCGGGCCCCATATTTCCAGCTTATGGTTTGGTTACAGCTCTACATGACCCAAATGGAAAGATAAAAATATTCTCCTTTGTTCATCTCCCTTTTAAACATGATTTCTCCTTAAAGGTGCTTAAAAGAATTTTATATGCAATGAGTCCTTTTATCATCTATCTCTAATGTTTTACCTGGCTGTTCATTGGCTATCGTGCAGCAATGTTTCTTAGTATTTTATAAAAGATATTTACATCTAAGTCCATAAGTAAACTTGGTCTATAATTGTTTTATACTTGTCTTGTTTCATACGAAGTTATTCCACCAGTGTTAAATGAGTTGGTCAGTTTTCTTCTTTTTTCTCATGTTTGCCAATGCTTGCCTATAAATCCATGTGGTTGTTGGACCTTTTTGGAAGGCAGGTGTGACTGAGGATTAAATTTCTCTGTGGCCAATGCTACTGGCTTATCCAGGTGCTCTCTTTATTTCTGAAAAAAAATTTAATACTATTTTCTAAATATTGTGATACCTTTTTGAGGTTGTTATCACAATCTCTTTTACAGAGGAAGAAACTGAGGCTTGGAAACAGTGCCGCATGCTACGGAAAACAGTATAGTTCTTTCTCAAAAAATTACAAATAGGGGCCAGGCGCGGTGGCTTAGGCCTGTAATCCCAACACTTGTGGATCATTTGAGGTCAGGTGTTTGAGACCATCTTGGCCAACATGGTGAAACCTGTCTCTACTAAAAATACAAAAGTTAGGCAGGCGTGGTGGCACCCGCCTGTAGTCCCAGCTACTCGGGAGGCTGAAGCAGGAGAATTGCTTGAGCCTAGGAGGCGGAGGTTGCCACGAGCCAAGATCGCACCACTGAACTGCAGCCTGGGTGACAGAGTGAGACCGTCTAAAAAATAAAATAAAATAAAAATAAAAAATTACAAATAGATTTACCATATGATCCAGCAATTCCACTTCTGGGTATATACCCCAAAGAATTGAAAGCAGGGACTCTGAACAGATACTTGTGCATCCGTGTTCATCATGGCACTATTTACAATAGCCAAAAGACGGCAGCAACCCAAGTGCCCATCAAGGGATGAATGGACAAGTAAAATGTCTGTACATACAATGGGATGTTATTCAGAATTAAAGGGGAGGAAATTCTGACACATGCTAAACACAGATGAACTTTGAAGCTATTATGGTAAGTCACTTATATGAAGTACCTAGAGTGGTCAAATTTGTAGAGACAGAAAATAAGAATGGTGGTTGCCAGGGGCTGAGGGAAAGAAGGAATGGGGCTTACTGTTTAATTGGTACAGGGTTGCCGGTTTACAAGATGAAAAGAATTCTGGAGGTAAATGGTAGTGGTTGTACACCATTATAAATGTATTGAATTTCATGGAAAGGTACACTTAAAGATGGCTTAAAATGGTAAATTTTATATTTTTTGTATTTTGCCACAATAAAAAAAAGTACTACATTAACTGACAGACTAAACAAGGACTTTTGGCACCAAAATTAGACTTTGGGAAGAAATCAGATATCTCAGTAAAGGCGTCATGAGAAAAATATGATAGTCAATAGATTTTGTTGCACGTGCTTTAAGACATAGATTTGCTTTTATTTGGAATCACTTGGCAGTGAGGGAAAGGGTGTCATAATCTTTTTATGCCCTTGAGGCTCCAAAGTAGGGTTGCCAGATTTAGCAAATTAAAAACACAGGATGCTGTGCAATATTTAGCATGTGCTTACACTAAAAACATGTCTGTGGTGTTTATCTGAAATTCAGATTTTCCTGGGTTCTGTGTTTTATCTGGCAACCGTCTCTAAGAACCTGAGTCCACACTTGGTGAGAGGAGTTAAGGAATCAGTGTGAGAACCCGAAGTGGGAACCACAGTTGGTGTCTGACCTGGGAGTGCAGGCTCAAGGTCACGGGGACAGATCTACACCCAGGTCACTCGACTCTGTGCTTGTGAAAGGCCAATGGGGAGCTGGTGGGTTTTCCTGAGGAAACCTTCGGAGAGACCTTGTGAACAGCTGTCCTCATGAAAGGCCCATGCTCCGTTTTAACTCTGTTAGAGCGGGGGTGGAGGCAGGGCTGGGGTGTATAGCTCAAGGCAGCTCCACAGTCTGTGTTCTATGTCCTGGTTTTGGTCACTTCCTCACCCAGCATGGTAGACCAGGATCTAGAATGTCTGAGCCTTCATCTCACATTGTAGCTGGTTTCCACAGAAACATGAAACCAAAGACCACCCACGGCACAGCAGAGGTTCTTGGCGCACGTGCACTGCTGCTGAGACGGGCACGTGCCCCTTCTGGGCCCAGCTGCCCAGGAGCTGCCTTTGAAAAGTCTGCTTTCCTTCCATGGCTTGTGCTATAGAACCATCAGCACGTCCACAACTGGCAGCTGCCTTTCTCTAAGGAACATCTTCATGCAGGTATTTAAATGGGAAAGAATTACAAATTTCAAATATACCCATCAAGAGGTGTGAATCCCCCTAAGGGTTCAAAAAACATAGGGAAGGCACAGAACAGGGACGGGGACCAGGAGCACAGCTGCCTTCCTTGTTTATCCAATCAAAATCGCTCAGAGACACAAACTCTGGCCTCCTCCATGTTGGAAAAGCAGGTCATGGCTAAGACAGGTGGAGACCGCTCAAGTGAGCATTTGGAAAATGGGATCATTTTTCTAAACGATTGGATAGCGGCCACTGTGACCTGAGCTGCAGCCACAGAGCAGAACTAAAATGAATGTGGAGGGGACTGAATGCAACTTCAGAAATCTGGGTCTACAGCTGCTTGGTCCATTAAAATAATATACTTACATGGTTTTTAAATGTTCCCTCTTTTCAAATTACACACATTATCCCAGAAAAGTAGCTGATTAAGGCAAACTGTTTCATTCCAAGTGGTGAAAATAAAATTGACAATAAAGGAAGCACTAACTTAAAATGATGCCATCTTTTCTTTTTTTCTGTCCTGCAAAATGCGCTGTTAGGTGAGGTCCTGATAGCACAAGGCCACGTCCAAGGAGGGTCCAGCTCCTTCCTTTGCTCCTTTTGCCCCTGTGACTTGCTGGAGCCTCCTTAAAAGGTTATGTGGCCAACAGCTGGTGTGCTCATCTGGAATTAATCCCTGAACATTGCTTGTCTGTTGTAGAAACTGGAGCTTAGAGTTTTCTTGAAGAAATAAAAGGCTTCATACTCTAATCTGTTATCATCTGTATTGACACTTTTTTAAAAGCTCAAAATGAAAAACATAAAACACTATCAAGTAATCAACAGAACATTCAATGTGTATAAAGATTTATTTTTTAAAAAAACATGTTAAAAAAGAGAGCCAGGGAATTCAATGTACATTTTAGACCATTTAATGGAGGTATTTGTTGCACATGTGGTTTTAGTGTAACATAAACACAACATCTCTCCCCAGAAACACTTAACCTGAGTTGGAAATGAAATATGAACTGAGGAGACTCTTAATTCACACAAACACTTCTTTTCAAAATACTAGCAATTACTCCAACTGCGGATTCTGCTTGAAGTTCAGGACTCCGTCCCAGGACAGGAATGAAGGAAAACTCCATGCCATTCAAACGCTCTGCTGAAGTCAAAGGATTGCACCTGCGGCCTCTTAATCAGCACTAGCTTCCTCAAACACCCGCGGAACGAGGTCTGGCTGCTCAGGCATTTTTGCTTCACGCCAGCTGTTCAGGAAAGAAGAGAAGACAAATCTTGCTTAATTTTGTTGAAATGCGATCCATAGCACAAAAGGAACAGAAATAATCTCAAGTGGGTTATTTTGTTTTTAAAATTTTTCACTATTAAAATTAGAAGAATATTTTCCACATATGTGGTGTCAGTGAATAGCAGAATTCAGAGAAAACTTTTTTTTTTTTGAGACGGAGTCTGGCTCTGTCACCCAGGCTGGAGTGCAGTGGTGCGATCTCGGCTCACTGCAACCTCTGCCTCCTGGGTTCAAGTGATTCTCCTGTCTCAGCCTCCTGTGTAGCTGGGATTACAGGCACCCATCACCACGTCCAGCTTATTTTTGTATTTTTAGTAGAGACAGGGTTTCACCATGTTGGCCAGGCTGGTCTCAAACTTCTAACCTCAAGTGATCCACCCACCTTGGCCTCCCAAAGTGCCAGGATTATAGGCGTGAGCCACCACACCTGGCCAAAAACTTTTAATATATAAAATTTTAAGGCATAATTATAACTTAAGTCATACAACAGGTGTTTATTTTATTATTTGCAACAATTCCTTGGAACATCTAAAATACATAATTCTAATCCAAAATTGACCAGAGAGATGAGTCACGAGTTTATTTCCTAAAATGATTCCCTAGCCCTAAAATGACTCCCAAGTCTGAGAGTCATGAAAT